GCGTGACATCATCACCAGGCGAAAAGACTGTAACCGTTCCCAGACGATTTTTTCGGGGGAGCCGTTACAAATTCGGATGGCACCCAGGCTATGAAAATAGCGGATTGTTCCTCTAATTGTGGAAATGAATCAGACATTGCCTTGCAAGAATAGTGGTAGTGATTATATTTAACTTGGTGTAAGTGCCACACAAGTTTATATAGGTTACTAATTCTGCAAACCTACATGCATGGTTGGTGTGGTGAAGTTTCTACCTAGTGAATTTGTAGTAATTGCCAGTATGGCACAGCCTTTATGATTTTTTTATGTTTTTCAGTAATCTGTGACATAATTGTCAATAATGTAGAAGTACTACAGCTGCAAGTATTATCATTTGATTTAGAATAATGAATGAGATATGATTTTATTTCATGTATCTAGTTTAAGTTAGTGCTGAGGTGATACCTTAAGATTCTATGTTATAATTTTGTGTAGAAATCGCTGCAAAGGTATGGTAGGAAAGTTTTATAGAATGAATCCCTATTGTAGGTTTTTGTCAGATTCGAAACTTACAGTTGACTTGTTTCCATTAGCTGCAAGTAGGAAACATTATTTTATAATTCAGAGCATACTGCATTATACAATGTATTGTATTTCATTATATGGTTTGAATTTTGTAATTTTAAAGTAGGATTTGATGCTTGCAATTCTGGTGTAGTTTGCAGATTTATAATGCGCATTTCATAATCAAGTTTTGGTTGTACTTTGCATATTGATTTGATGCAGTGTCACTTTTGAAATACTTTGCAAAGTTAGGCTAGCAAAAATACACTTATAAAGTAGTGTAGTTTTCAAGCAGAATATTGGTACACGTGTATTAGAGTTGTAGGGCTTCCATTGGTGTCATTTTAGATAATGACTGGCTTGTTTTCATAATAAAAGTCCTCCAATTTACACAGAATTTTGGGTGTATGTGTGTATTGACTGTTTCTGCTTTTTTTATATGTGAAGGTCTTGTTGTTGCTAAGAGCAAGGACATTATACACTTTGTGTATAATGTCCTTGCATTATACACTTTGTGTATAATGTCCTTGCTGTGAGAGGCTAATTTCTAAGGTGCTAATTTATTGAAGGAGGTCGATGAAGGTATTAAACATGAATATAAAAGGACAATGGAAAACAATATAACATGTGACTACTCTAATAGTTTTAATTGTTTAAGTACTAGTAATGTTACATGTAATAGTCTTTATACAAACACTATTTAGTTAGGCATAGACCTAACTTTGAAGCCGGTGGTGTTTTGCCCTCCATGTATCTCTTACGCCACCCTGCGATGTTCCTCAGAACTGCAGCGTCCCGACTCCCTGCGGGACAGTACCCCTTCCAGACCTGGCCAGACGACCAGTTCCGACAACAAACACTACGGGCGGGACTGTCACGTCGGGTGGCTGGTGTTGTAGGATCTGGTATTTTGATCCCCACGAGTGGGTCGCATGGCGTACAGCACTACATGGTAAGCTTTTCTCAGTTCTTAACAAGCAGTTTCGACCAGAGGGCAGGGTTGTGAAGTGTGCAGCGAATTCAAACTTTGTTCCGCGTGGTGTGTGGTCGTTTTTTTGGTGCCTTACTCGAACGATGATCCCGTTATATCAACAAGGACAGTGCCATGAACGTGAAAAAACGGTGAGAGTAAGGGCTGATCTACTACTAGAGACTTTTCTTGTATCCACAACGAACTCTGCATAACAATCAACCTTAGGTAGCGAGAAAGAAACGTTCTAGTAGACGGGTATGTAATACAGAATTTTTTTTTGTATTTCCCATGGGGGGGGGGCGTCATGTGTGTCAAATTTTGTCTGTAACGATTGTGTTTACACTACAGCAGAAATGTGTTGCTAGTTTTATAAATGATCTTCTAGTAATCAATATGAATCAGTTGGCTGTTGTTCATTTCCCTTCATATATCGTATTTTGTCGATTTCCAAGATCTAAAAACTCCAAGACTAGTTACGAGGAAGACCGTTCCATGTCAAGCCGGTCGGTGGGGGAGGGGTTCTCGACCCACAAGAAAAAGTTAATTTTTGGTGAAAAAAAAGGTTTCCTCATAGCTGGCACATGACATGAGCAAGATTTGTCTTAAAATACTGTATTTTGATGCTCATTAGAAATCATAAAAGATCCAATTGATCACTTGTGGAGCAATCCGAGCAAATTACTTTCTGACCCAAGAAAAAGACACACCCTCACCCCCCTCCCAGTTCACATCATGGGCCTGCCTGTGAAATACAATAAAACCCAGTGTCTGTTTCAGATCTAGTCACTACCCCATTAGTGCCTCAGAAAGTTGTGGTTTTGCATTCCACCAGAAAAAGGTAGTAAAATATCGTCAAACCCTGTTTAAGAACTTAAGATTAGTTCAGGATATTATAGCTGTATGTCATTATAACTGTTATATAAGATATTATAGAAATAAAATGTTGTCCAGACATGTTCAATTACATAAATAATGAGTCGCTGCCATTCTTTCAAAACTTTCTGATTGATTTTTAAGTCCCACATGCATTTTCACATCATTAATGGCCTGGAATCCAGCCTGTTTAGGTTGTTACCCTGGGGAAGTTAGGGACCATTGGTCTGGATTCCAGGCTAATTTAGTTATTAACAGAATTGTTGCTGGTTTGATTTTAGAATCTTTTCCTATCTTATTTGGAAAAACTTCTAGCACATAATCAATAATGTTTATTTACATAATCCTTGTGTGATTTGTTTTGCTATACCATGATAAGATAATGATACTGTTTGTCCCCATGTTTATGTAGCAAAATTTGCTTTGAAATTGAATGATAAAAAGCACTGTTCCATAGACCATAGAAGTATCCATTTGCCAGGCAGTTATAATAGGCATTTGCCACCCAGCTGGCACAAAAAAAATGATACCAATACAAAAAAGAAAGCCTGATAAAAACTCCTAAAGCACTTACTCACACTCACTATCCGGATTATCGTCTGTGTTGTTGTTTTGAAACACGACGTCAAAAATAAACGAAAGCCTAAAGCTCTGCTTGGAGAATAGTAAAAGCAAACATAGTTTAAGTGTTAGCCTAAACCTCTGCTTAGAGCGCTGTAAAACCAAACACAGTTTAATGAAGAAGTATACTACATACTACAGTGTTGATCATTTTGCTGTTTGGACAGTTTGAAGTGCTGATAACTGACATAAATAATCCACTAGAGTGGAGCATGAGAGCGCAGTGACTTCACTGCACAAAGGTTAAGTTTGTAGAAGTGATTTTCTGGATGCTTCCTTCTTTGTGTTTGCAGGACATCGTGACTTACGGACGGCTTTGGAATTGAGCCCAGGTGAGCTGAACAGGTGAGAACACCTTATTGTGTACCTGTCTAGTTCACAATGGAAACTGTCAAAGGATCATTCAGTAGCCTGGGTGCAATCCTACAGGAATCCCATACTCCCAAAGGAAGTATGACTATGAGAGCGTTGGTATGTACACTACGTAGGATGGTACCCAGGCAAGCATATTAAAAGTTAAACCTTTGATGTTAAACTTCTCTGTTATGATCTGGGCTCCCATACTCACTCCCTCGAAAAAGTAATTCTCTTGTTGGCTTTTCTTCTTAAATTACATCACATGACTCAACCCCAACATTTATAAGTAATTTAGTTATTCATAATCATATAGTATTACATAGAATTAGATTTGTTTCATACAGTTTCGCTCGTAGTTGTTTTGTGCTTGAATGTACAAACAGTTATAATATTATACGATGTATAACAGGACAAGATGGTTAAAGTACTTCTAAAGTATGTGCTCACATTCACTGAGTGGTTTTCAATCTCTAGAACTTAGTAGTAGACGTATGGTACAATGGCAGAAATCTGTTTCAATATATTGAACTGCAAAAGCATGCAAGTATCATACATATCTATGCCACTTTGTTGACTTGGTAACCAGCATAACACGGGCCAACAAAGTTAAGCTGGAGATACTTGAGTACAAAGTCGTGAGGTCTACAATAGCACATCTACTTCAACTTGTTTGCAGAGCACCATGGGAACAGGAAGTGATGTCACCTCAGGAATGCATGACGCAAAGTTTGATTTTTGAAGGACTTTTGATCCTCAAATCATATTTATTTTGCTTTCATGAATCACATCTTTCTGTTACTGTTACATGTAGGTCCATGGCATATCAGAGAGATAGGGACAAAAAGTTTCATATCATAACTAGAGTTCCACGATCTCATACCTTCGCCAAATGATGTTAATCTTTATGACTGACAAATTATACAATAGATTATTCCCCCTGATCTAACAAATAGGAATTCATGAATTATATCATTTTATCATAATCTCGACCAAAAGACAGTCTTGTAATGACAAACAATGCATTCTAGTATTTCCTAATAAATTATGCGAATGAAGTCCTGATTTGAATAAATTATGTTTATTGATGTTCACCTCAAATTAACTTTAAAATACCACAAGTATGAAATTCCAGACAGTTATCATTACATAATTATAATTTTTTCATTAATTATGCAAATTAAGTCATTATTAACATAATCAATATCTGCCTGTGTTTCTCTCGTTGTCAATTACCAATGTCACAAGCTTCAATTGTCTTATCATGGATTTGCAGCTGATTTATAGAATTTCCCCATAAATTATGCAAATTACATCCATATTTGCATAATTGTCACATAATTGTATTAAGCATCACTTAAGCTACCTACATACCAAAAATCACGACGATCCGTCAACCGGTTCTTGAGTTATCCTCTTTTTAATATTTTCAAGAATATATCCCTGCAGTTCCATAGCAAGCCGCCAAGGGGCCCAAACTCACGTCACTTCTTCCCAAGCACAAGAGCTACCTACCATTCAAATTTCATCACCATAGCATGTCTAGATCATGAGATATCAAAACCGGAAGTTCAGCTGCAGTACCATAACAAGCCGCTAGGGGGTCCAAAATCTAATCATTTTGAGGTCTCATCAAGACCTACCCACCTACCAAGTATCAAGACAATCCATCAAGGCCTTCTCAAGTTATCGTGTTTACAGACAGACAGACAGACAGACACACACACACACACACACATACACGAACGCCTCTGAAAACATAACCTTCTTGGCGAAGGTAATAATATTGTGACAAGTGCAAAATCAACTACCTGAACTTTATAAGTACTTACTGCCTGTTAATAGAGTTATGATCAAAACCGTTTCAAAGTATCAGTTTTAGATATGAAATGGTGTGATTTCAGACTCTTCATTATACTTCATACTTCATAGATAAAAGAAAGTCTTAGAAATATCTTTAACAGCTAATGATCCAAGTTAGTCCTTCTAAACCCATACCATAGTATTTCCCGTTTCCAACCACAATGTACATACATCATGTATATACTGTTAAGTTACATTTTGGGTTTTAGATTTGCCCATGATGGTCTTTTAATTACAAAGTTTGACACACAAGTACATAGAGTAATCCTCTGTCACCCTGAGATACCCTGGAGGCCTGGACATGTTTTCCTAGGCTGTTGAGTGTTGTGTCCAGTTGTTTATGTACCACTGGTCTGTAAGACCCTGTTTGAACAGTACAATCCTGACATACTTGCTACATGTTACCTCATGCTTTTGTCTTCTGGATAATGTTTGCTGACAGATAACGTGGATAGCAGCGGCTTGTTGCTCGATGGCTAAGCTCTTTATTTTGTTTGTCCACTCTTAACGATTACTTGGTGGCCATTTGGTCATACACGTGACCACAAGATCTAGGGAACAAATGTAGCTATTGTTCAATGTTAACATTTTCCATGTGCAATGAAGCTAGTAGGAAGTGTTATCAGTTTCTTTTTGTGAATTTCTACTGCTAAAATGTTTTTTACTTCCAGTATTGCTTTGGGTAGTGGAGCTGTGGGTTGGTTTGTCTGCTTGTCCAGGCAGACTACGTGTAGGTTGACAGCACATGGGTGGGGGGAAGATTGACAGGCAGAAGGTCAAAATGTCACAGAAAATGGCCGACTGGCCCAAGCAGCAGGAATTCAGGAAGCGGATGATTGCATGAAGGAGCCGCCAATACTTCCATTCAATTCATTAATAATAATTCAATCCATGGCTTTACCATATGCATTTCTCTTTGTATGAGTTAATTTGTGTTTCTAAATTTGCCAAGTCTCTAACATGAGCAATTGAAAACAAAGCTGCAGGGATGCCTCCTAGTCCTACACTTCTGAAGTGTTTATCACCAATCCTCCATTGTAGCTACTAGTACCTTGCTGTGTAACTGCGTAACTCGCCAGCTTCCCAGCCGCATGGCAGCGACTAGTTATATAGGGACCTGTCATAACAGCTTGTAAGGTCTTGTCTCAAACATAATGTGTTGGCATGGAAACAATTAGCTTTGAAGTATTCCTGGTATGGGGTGATAGGCAGGCAATAGATTTTGAAGATGTTTCTGATTGGCTGATATTTGCACGTCAGTTTGTTTCAATCAAATCTTGTGAGAATTGCTTGTATTAAATTTGCTGTAAATTGAACACTCATTTACACGGCATTTAATTTTGCAGTAGGAGGTTTTCCCGTTGTTTCAAATTCGTGGTTCAAAACAATATTGTAGCACAAAAACACATCTTGGTGATATCATGGCTTTGTGTTTGGAAAGGCACCGTGAAAACAATTTCAAGATTTACTGTAAGGCTAAGCCATACAAGTTAGACAGGTGCACTGACAGTAATTGAAGTTATACAATAGACATGTACTATACATGTGATGTGTATTAACAGTCACTGTAATTGGTTTTCTACAACTTAATAAAGAGAAGTTGATGTAAGCACATGTTATCAGCAATAAGTATGTGATCTAATGTGTAACCACGACTGTCATTAACATCAGACATGTGTATCATGAACAGACATGCATTAAAATGTATGCAATTTTGATTGAAGTTTATAAATTATACTGGGAATTACCATAGTGCTGACAGTTTACAATGTATGCAAGATGATTCCATAAACGTTTTTGTACCTAAAAATTTTGCTGTAACCTGTTTTAATGCTGTAACCTGTTTTGATGAAGTTTATTGCTCAAAAACATGTAACAAAATGTCATTTCCAGAGCTTCAAGTTCAACTGCCAATGTGTTGGAAAATAGCTCTTTATACAATTGATACTAACATTACACTTTCATATGTTTTAAATACTCAACCCATTTGGATGTGCTACTAAAAAATACCTGAATATGCACAAACTGTTGACTATAGCAGTCCAGTATTTGACATGTATTTGTATACAGTATTATACTGGTATGTATACATTACTGTAACAAGATCTCTCATAACAGTGTTATCCTAGCCTTGTACTGTGATCCGTAACCGCTACTACTAATCTATTTTCAGACCATAACATTATTATATTACAGAGAAAATATTGTATTACTGTTGTTATCTTAAACTATCACGCCAGCGTAGTGATGTAATAAATTACCTGCCATTGCTTTAACATTAAACACATTTTAGTGAAGTAATGTTTTACCCATCAGTAAACGGTCAGCAATGCAAATGGCCTACTCTTGATAAACGTGTCTCATTTACATTGTGTATGTATAGCCTGCCTTACATTGTGCTATTTGTGGGCGCTTGTAAGAACACCACTGAACACACACGGCCTAAATGCTGACATTTACTCAGTATGTTTGTACATGTCCAGCTAAGCAAAGAGCTGCTCCTTTGACCACTAGTGGTCTATTTTAGTGCAAGTTCTAGTCGCATGCTTGCTGGGCGTAAAATTACAACCCACTGAGAAAATTGTACAAGTATAATTTTATAAAGATAGGGTGTGTTTACTTTTTATCACTTCAGAAGCTCTTAATGTCAACCCTGTAGCTATCCGTAATGGTTTGCCCCTAAACTTATCTCAATCTTTGCTCTGTGGTTTTTGATGGTAAACTGTGTTTTATTTGTAGAAAGAAAGGAGGAAGTTTTTTTTTTCAATTGCAGAAAAAGAAGTCAGGTTCATGACGTTTTTTGTTTAATTGCTTTTGGCTTTGGATCAAGCTTACCAGAAATTCGATGCTAATTCAAAGGGAAGAAATTATTGATGTGCAGTCAAATTATGTTTCAATTTTGGTATAAGAAGACATGAATAATGTGTAAGGGTAGAAGTTTATTGTTCCAGAAAACTGTGGTAAGTGAAGATGAACCTCACAGTCCTAACTTGAACCTGATACAACTCCTCCACTGAGCCAGGTTTGTGTATTCCCAGCAGGCGGAACTGAGCTCCTGTCTGTGACATGCACTCCCTGCACCCCAGCGACGCCACCGGCCCCCAGGACAGGGAGAATGGCACATCCCGTCTCCATGGAGACCACCAGGTGTCCTGTAAGAACGAACAGGTATGTGAAATCATCATTCTGATTTTTAAAAATTCACAATTAGGAATATTTCAGGTGTCTAGCTATAGCAGCTTACCTTCCAGATTCAATTTGGCATTGCTACATCTTTTTTCACCATGTTAGTCAGTGATTGAAAACTACAACAGCCCCACTGAAGTTAGGCAGTGGTGACACATTTGTACAAGTTTTGCATCTGCAAATGGCCAATTAAGCCTGCATATAGAATTATTACATAGACCGCTATAACCTACTTACATATATACCAGACTAATAAGAATCGTGACCAAAATGCATCATCAATTTTCAGCATGTTATTAATGACCTCACTTCATGGAATCCTGCCTCTGACCTTGCATCTACCAGTGGAACATTATACTAGGTTATTCAGGCTGGGTTATTATTATTATGTCAGGTGGTTTCATATCACGAAATCCACTCAAGCACAAATCACAGTCAGTACTCACCCAGGTTGAAATAAAGAACATCTAATTGGATGGTAAAGGCCTAGGAAAGTTAACATTGTCTTTCTGATTATGTTTACTACACATTAATATTGAGTTGAGCAGTTTATATCTGTTGCAACAGAAACTAAAATGGTATCATTTGCAAAGCAAAATGCATAATGCTTACCTTCGCATATGGTCTGCTCTATTAATTCTTACTCAAACACATTCATATATACATGTATGGTCAGACAGGAGTCTAAATCCCTCCTGCTATAAAATTGCAACATGATGTAGCCCAACACTAGTAAGTTGCCATGGTAACAGACAGTCTAGTTCAAGCTATTGAGGTCATTGTTTGGAGAAGAAGAAGAAACATAGCAAAAACACTATGTTTTCCTTCGGTAAACATTATTAATGAGGAGATCACGTACGAAGTTACGATTAAGCATTTTCCCCTGGATTGACCTCCCAAATAAAGGTCAGGTTTTTGATATGGTCGGTCGGGTAACCATAGCCTGGGTACCATCCTACTTGTATAACAGGGCTCCCACACGCGCTTCCCAAAGAAGTACTTCTTAGGGAAGCGAGTGTGGGAGCCCCGGCATACAAGTAGGATGGTACCCAGGCTAGGGTAACCAACCCAAAACACAATTTTTTCCTGTGCCTTACAAAGGTTACCATTTGGGGGTCAACAGGTCAGAATCAGTCATGGTTTCAAACATACTGAAAAGCTGTTAAAATTCACATGGTATGTTATTATTTAAATTTATGTAACACGGGAATTGATAGAAATGTGTACATCTATCTATACTAAAATGTGTACTCTGATATATTTTGTAGTCAAAGTAAAGGATATTGATATGAGCTGTAAATATTTAAATATTTCATGGAGGTATAAAGTCTCTGATTTCTTGTTGATATGGTGAGCACTTCATACATGTGTTATCCCATAATGTTTCATCTCCCTTTGAAGTCCTTTTACCTGTGCGGGACCAGGTGAGACTAGGGTCGTTGGTGAGACATACCTGTAACCTGAGCACCGTACCTGAACTAGGATGACCCCAGATGTGTCCAGTAATAGTACCGGTCCAGTCTCTCATGGCTGGTTGAATTACACCTGTACAGGGTTTATGTAACATGGGATAAGCTTCTTGAATGTGAGTCATTGACTGTTATCATGAAAGGCCTAGCTGGGTAAAATCTCACCACAAATTGTTCACCGCATAGGGATCAGGTACAGAAGGGCAACTTTGTGGCACAAGCCGCAGTGTGCATGGAGTGCCAAAGACGTTCTTTGACAGATCCTGAGACATATTTTTCCACATGTTGAGGCACAAATTTTGTGCTGTCAACTTTTCCCTCTGTTTTATAATTCTAAAGACAAAAGTCAATTTTCGTAAAGATTTATGAATGGACATCTGTATCTGTATAGCCGGTATAACCGCCTTTCGGCGTAACACACCAGCTTTAGACATAGGTACCATTCTACCAAGAAACACTTGTACACAGTTGAAAGATGCTAACTACTGTTACAGTATGCTAAAATGACACTGAATAGACTGAGAAAAGCTAACAGTAACAGAATGAAACATGCCTCACTCAGATGAAGAGTCAGAGAGATCCTGTGTGCACCATTCCTTTGTATATGTGGTGAAGAAATTAGCTAGATATTAATAACTCCTAGTAATAGTAACTAGTGGTATTTCGTACAGTTTGAGTTTGATAGTCACTTCCAAAGCCATCATTCGAGACTGCTGTTAAGACATCTTCCAACTAAAGGGAAATTAATGAACGTCCTCAGAGTTTATTGGTATTGTACAGTTGTGAGATCCCTCCATTTTGGAGCCCTGATCTTTTGGCCCTGGAAGGCTTGACTCCTGACTGGGTAAGATTATAAACTACATTAAGCTTTGGTGTTGATGCAGAGGCCACAGGTCAGAATAAACCAGAAGCCTGTATTTGTTTAAAGAGTGCAGCGGCCAGGACCACTTCCTTCCTCCCCACCACACCTCATGTCTGGGTGTTACAGTGGTCCCACAATTGGCACCAAATGTGCTCTCGGCTAACGGGGATAGTCAGCATGTCGGTAGAACGTTCTGCGGCTGCGTAAAACCCAGATTTTTAATGGCATTGGATCATCACAGTGCACTGTGACTTGCAGACGATATCTTTTCCAACACAATGCACAGATACAACTTACATTCAGCAGAGGGAGATAGTCAGTACTTAACATAACACATTGATCAATGGAATCAGAATTTTTACGTTACCTCCATGTATATATGGAGGTATTGTTACGATGTGTGTCTGTGCGTGTGTATCTGAGCTGATTGCAGTAGAATTTCAGGAAGGGAGGGGAAAATTTCGTAACTGCAGTAAAATCATACAGGACTGTTTTGTAGTGACATGTTGATCCCTTCATCTACATGTATGTCGACGATCTCAACAGCCTTCTCAGTTAACAGTACACCAATTAGTCGCTGTGCTTTCCACACAACTCAGTAGAGAAACATACCAACTGTTGATCGGTTTTACATGTAAACTCCTGGATGATGGTGACTTCCAGTGATTCCACGTTGTCTCCAAGCAGATGCTACGGTGGCAAGACAGTATCCATTAGCCTGGGGAGTGACCTTTAAATTTTATTAGCCACAGTGACTGGGGCTAATACTAGTCTCCACCAGACTTCTTTTGCAGGCTGAATAAATCATAGAAATTGGCCTAAAAGGGTATTAATTGGCGAGAGAAGGTAGCCATCCATCGACGATCAAATTTCTAGGATGCTGTCTTGCACCGTAGGATCTGCTTGGAGATTGGTTCCACACACAAAAACATTGTAACTGCCACAAGGCATTGGCAACAATTTTGTCCCTTACCATACTTATACTAGCTCTTGGTCCTCTGTGCCAGTTTCCCACAGTTCTTTTTTACATATTTCAGATAGACTTCCATATTAAAGGGGGCAATGCTATGGGGGGTACTGTAGATTAGGAGGGCCCGTGATGCTTACCAATAAATTTAGGAAGGCCGGCAACACTTATTGGTAAATTGAATTCCTTAATCATCTAATGTTAAATTAAAGCGGGCTGCTACAATTAATGGTTAATTAAAACAGCTCACTGTGCCTCAGGAAAAAGGCATGTAAACCCTTATTATAAAGTTTAGAATCCATATATTATTGTACTGACTTTACTCAATGCTGTAAGCTAAAGTGTACAAAGCAGCTGTGTTACAGGCTTTTAACTGTCTGGGTTTAATGGGCAGTTAATAAAGTCCTGTGTTAATCGGTCCTGACAGGTTTTGCACATAACACCAGCAGGCAGACTGTGCCATTGGAGCGCTCCAATGGGGGTGTGATTGGGTCGTACCAGTCCAGCATTTTCAGGAAACATATTAGGGTGAGAATTTGTTAGTCTGACATACATTTGCGATGTTGTTTATAATGATCATATGACGTCATAACTACTAGACAATGCCACAAATAGTACACCAGGTCTGAAACCATTTCGTCAGTTCCTGTAACACTAACTTACTGTCACCAAAAATAAAGGACTTTGGAAGTGCCAAGAACAATACCAGTCTCTCAAGTTGATCCTGCGGACAGGTTTAGCCACCTTTGTGGTGCATCCGGTTGTTAATTACGATGATATAATGTTACCGACGGCATGTACAGTCAACATGACACAAATCTCGCACATTTGTTAATCCGTTTCAAAACAAATTGCTAGTTTTTCTTGCATAAAATATCTCTGTAGGGTGTAGAATATAAACAGATGTCCCAAACCACAGTGGGTGTGGGGAGACATGTCGTGTGGGTGTGTGAGACGTATCATAACTGTTGACACAAAATGTTCAGGGTTCTCACCAGGATTTTTTTGACAGCGTAGGGGTCAGGTATAGAAGGGCAACTTTCTGTGCATCGATATTCCAAAATCATGGGTCTGATATTCTCCCCCCAAAATTTTGTAACCACTTAAGACACTATTTATTGTTTATTGGGGGACAGATTTTGTTTTTCCTTTGTTATAGCTTCATTCTTAAGTTGTATTTTCCTATTTTTTAAGATTAATGAAGCTTCTGCCCCCAAAAAACACCCCTACGCTGGTCGAAACACAGTGTAGGGGGCTAAATCACAGCGTAGGGGGTCAAAATCACAGCGTAGGGGGCCCCTACGCTCAAACAGCCTGGTGAGAACTATGATGTTGTACTTGCAGCCAGGGGGTAGAGTAGATCTTCCACACTGACATAAGTTATCACCTCTGTGTCACAGGGCTCAGGTCAAAGTGTAACAGGCGTGTGTAACAGCAACAAGTTGTAAATACATGTTAGGCTACAATGTTAACTACATGTACCAATCCAGAGTCATAAGGTCTGTGACAAAAAATTTCCACTTTTTACATTCAATCGACAATGCTGAGTTTTTTTAGACTATGTATTATATTTTATTGTAGCTTGGATAGTCCTTTCTTCCTTCTTTATGGACCAGTCAAATGATTTCTGTGTACAAGCTTCATACTGGTATGTATATCACAACACTTGTCGATGTGGTTAAAA